ACAAATTACAGACTCTGATTTCAATGATGTTTCTAAGACCTTGAAAACACGCAGATTGTAGACCACGAACTTGTGTTTAATCACGAGCAATTTGCTGTAGGAATTTATAACTTCCTTCCCTGCGTACCGTACGTAGGCCGATTCACTAATGTTTGTCTAGTCCTGTTTCTGGTTACTTTTCCTGTATCTCTCTCCTTTTTCATTCTAACTTACAGGAGCCCGTAACAATGGCATTTAAATGAGGCATTGCAAAACATTTAATGATGTGTACACTGTTGTATTAACTCCATCGCCAAAGATGTTTATTTTCAATTTCACACTTTTTACCAAACCCTATTTACCAAAACCCGAAATTTCGAAGTGAAACGAAATGCAATCAGAGAGGCTGGCAAAACCGTCAAAACTATCCAGGAGCGAAACGACAGAAACAAGCGAAAGGAACAAAAACAAAAGGGATACCAAATGCGAAACAACTAAAGACAATGGCAACGGCCGCACTGAAATAGATAACTAGGTTTGTATATAGGAAACCTGGTTAAAATTTCCCGAAAACTTACCTCGGTGAAGGTTGGTTAGGAGGAAGCAATGGGGTTATATTTTTTGAACGGCTGCACAAATCATTAATGGGTTAACTTGACATCATGGGGGAAACCAAAACAAATGCAGACTTGTAGTTACATATATATTTATACTTTATTTATGCTCGAAATTCACAGTGTGGCTGTAGAGCTAATATCTTCGAGAAAGTAAGCTAAAAAAAAATAAAAATATGCTATCTTACAATTCCAATATTATTTATAAACATATACAACATTATGCATGCAGAGGCCAGATATATACTTTGTAGATCTACTGTAGAAAAGCTTCATATTTGAGGATCTTGTGCTTGAATTCTAGAAAATTTAATGTTTTGCTCGTTCCACATTATTATATTCTCCCTTCTCTTTCTTTCTTTTCCTTTTTCTCCACTCTTGATTAAGCCAATCTCTCTTCCTTCTGATGTGTACTATGCAAACTTCTTATGAATTATTTCAAACATAATGTTGATTTTACGTAGATGTCAGAGTGTTTCCAAAGGCTGTTGATTGAATTGTCCCTGAGTTTGGATCTATAAATCATCATACAGCATTGGCTTGAGGAATCTTGCTATGTGTGACTTTTGTAGAGAGCACTTTCAAATCAACATCAAGTCCTTTCAAGCACTCAGCTGTATTCTCTCATTAATCTATTCATGACTCTTGTTTCCAAGCAGTAGGATACCGATAGCAAATTATGTGACAATTGAATTTTAGTACTTGATGTAACTTGTTGTTGTGGCTGTTCTTACCATATGCCATGTTCAGAAGCCTATGTACTTGTTTGTACCATATCATAGAGAACAACATCTCCCACACAGACTGCAATGAATGACACATTTCATGAAAAAGAAACAATGCACGGCACTGATAAGAGACCACCAACCTGGGTTTTATTACACAGAAAGGTAGTTTAAAACCAACCAAACTCAGTTAAAAAAATCTATGGTGGTTCAATTAATTTCTATGGTTACCATTATCTCAGTTTCAGTTTGACAAAAAACCAAAAATAGTGGCTGCTTAATGATATTTTGGTAACCTGGTTGACTCTAATTGATTAGAAGTTACCCAGTTAACTCATCTAGTGTGGCCCCTGCCAATCTCTAGTAGCTAAATAAATGGCAGCTGGAGTTGGCTGTCATTACTTTCTCAAGTTTTGATTGATCTTACAGCTTTTTATTCCAAGGTTCTAACCCTTCTGATTACTATTGCTTTCATACCACCTACATTAAATGTTTTTTTCAAATCACAGAGTACTGTTTTATTGTTTTAGGTTACTCATATTGTAGTTTGATTTTTAAGTGATCAATTGTCATTCCTTCCTTGTCCACACTTGTAAACAAACTTCTGCTGGCTGAACCCTATAACACAGTGGAGGTGAGAATAGATTTGAGTTTAACATACAGAGTTGATTAAAATATCAGGACAAATAACAATGAATCAGAAAAAACAGGTCATGTTAAAATATAATGGAACTGACTTGTACTTCTCTTGCCTTTTGAGTCTTTTGAGGAACAGGAATTTAAAATTGATAGATAAAGAGATGATCTATTTGTAAGATAGCTAAATAGTTAACTGGAATTTTACCATCTTGGTAGCCCTTTTGAAACAAGTTGCGACCACTTCATTTCTTGATGGTTTATGTGGACTGTAATGTTGAAGTCACAAATATTTATCTATAAATATTACAGAAATAAGACTTTCCAATCTAATTTACCCTCTCCTTTCCCCCTCCTACTCTGAGGTTGGTAGACTTCAATGAATGTGTTTGGTTTTCAAACAAACAAACAAAAAGGGGAAGTGATGTGAAAACAATATGATTTCATGAGAAAAGAAATTAGGCACATTTGAGTTGTCTCTCAGTTTCTATAGCCATGCAACCTTTCCTCTCAAGCCAGTCCTTACGATCACAAGTGACTTGTAAATTGAGAACAAAGCCTGAATTTGCTAGGTGAGATTAGAAATGTTTGTAAATTTCTAAATCCCAGTTAACACTCACAGTTCTTGCTACCTGGATTGAAGACATTTTACTGACCATCCATCAGACAAATCAGTATCTAGAGAAAACTGTGAGTTGCCTGCCCAAGGTTCCCATGATATACCTGGTTTGAGTTGAGCACAGTTGAACTCCAGAGAATATCACCAAACAATTCAAAGAACAGTCCAAGTCAAGGTATACTGAGGTCATTCAAAATGAAATGTCTTCAATGTTATCCAATAGTAATTAGAGCAAAGACTCAAAGAAATGTTTGAAATAAAAAAGGTTTATTACGGTTAAGTTTGATCAACAAAGCAATTAAGTTAAGTTGGCTTGAAAATTAAACTTGAACATCTTTTGCTCTGCATCACTGTGAAAATTGGGCCTTAAATGCGACAGATAAAGAAGTATATATTGCAGGTATAAAGGAACAGATTTGAGACATAAATTTCAAAGATTTAAGTTCCTAAAACCTTGAAGTCATGAAGATTGTAGACTACAAACTTCTATTTATTAAACTTCCATTTATTAAAGTTGAACATCTTCTGCTTTGCATCGATGACCATGGAATGTGACTGCAAACTTCTATTTAATCACGAACAGAGATATTTGCTGCTTTAAGGACTCCTTGCATCGATTCACTAACATTCCCATCGTAACAGTTAATTTCCATATATTTGAATATTGGAATTAAATGACCTGTTTAAGCTAGGTGGTGCAATCAACTAATGATTATGTTTACACTGTTATAGCTCTTTCAGCTCTGTGGACAAATATGTTTAACTGCCATTTCATATTTTGCACATTTCACAGTGAAATTCCAGAAATGACATCAGAGTCAACCTTAAATTAGTTAAAATGGCATCTTGAATAATTAAGATTTGAAGACTGTCCTAATTGTTTTTACAGAATTGTTTAACACTCTGTTTTTTCTGTCTTTTTTTAGTAGCGAAATTGTCCTCCATTTATCACAGAGCCAATTTATATTGAGCTTGTCAAGTACATCAGTGATTTTGTGGTAGTAACAGGATTAAAGGGAAAGTCAAAGCAGGTAAAATGAACAGCCTTTAAAATTAGCTGTAAAATACTGCTAGTAATACTTCATTCAATGATCAAGATAGTATGTTTACCATACAATACTCATAACTATTCATTTTACTTTTTGCCTCGAAAAGTAGATTAACCAAATGGTATAAACATCTCATGATTTGGTTGCATTTGGATATATTTGTTCTCTGTCTGCTTTTAAGACTAGAATGTCAATGGAGAAAAGTAAAATGGAGAAGAGTCCATAGGTGAAAGTAAAGAAGAAGTCAAGAAATTTGACATGTCTTAATTGGCAAAAGAATCTCCTTTAATTCAATAAAGACTCATTAATTTTAGGCAATCTTCATTGCTGAGTCTGCTGAGACTCTGCAAGAGGCTTCTGCTTTTCTATTGATGTTGGCATTTCAAGCTTTTCAGAGTGTTGACCTAACTTGACATGTCGTCACCCAAAGGCGTAAATTGTTGGGAAAATTTTAGACACAAAAAAACCTACTTTGTTTTACACAAATGTGCCCTCTATAAACAAATTAATAGGGTATGAAAACTTAATGGATTGCCTCTAAATTTGGTCCTAAGACTCCCAAGATATCAACCTAAAAAAAATGGAAAATTAATCTGTGAACTGTGCAGAGGTTTTACTTCTGTGGCCAGATTTGATATGCAATTAATTCACTTAAAGAAACATTGTCCATTTGGAATTGACCTGCCCCATTTGGTTTACAATAAGATCTAGCTTAAACTGAATATTTTTTGCCAAATAGTGCATTTCATAACCTTTCCATTGATATATAGTTTGTGGTGGTTATATAAGTTTCAAATACTTACTTTGCTGTTGTTCAAAATGAACACTGAAATGTCATCAAATTAAGCTTTGAATTTTTACATTATAGAATAAAGTTGCAAATCAGGGTTTGAAATACCAATTTGTCTAAGATGGACTGAACATGATTGTGCTTCTATCAGCTCTTTAAAATCATTTATAATCAGGGCAAAGCCAATGTGTACTTTATTTTTTAAAAGCTCACTACCACAAAACTCAACAATCTAAAAATGAATTGCTTTTTTCTGGACAGATTTAAAGCGTGCTGACAAAGATCATTACTCAGATCAATCTCAATGTACTGAACTAAAAGCAAAACTTAAGTCTAACTGAGGTCAGTCCAGTTTCCTGTCAGTAATTTTAACATAAAATTGTTGACTAATGCAGATTAATAGAAACACAAAGCATGTACATTTGCTTTTTATGTTTGATTTAGTTTTTTTTAACTACTAAGACTTGCTTTGTATTAAATGTCATGATCATGTGAATTTGTGAATACCACTCGGAGGTATACAACTTGTACCAATTACCTGGAAATGACGATTGATGTTAAAGAAACTATACATGCAAGCACAGATTTCATGTAATTATATAATGACCTTAGATATTTGAGTGAAAATTTAAGAAAATACAAAAATTTTGGCAAGCTGGTTTATAATGTAAAATCTTAAGGACTATTAGGCATGCTTTCTTTGCTAAATGATAAGTCAATAAAATTTTTATTTCCAGTAGATACCTGTCCAAAAAGGCAACATTACTCAGATCCTGGATCTGAGTTTCTAAATACAGGAATTAACTTGTGGCAGCATGGGTGAGTTTTATAATGTCTTAAGGTGTGAACTGAGGTGAATATAACATTGTAAGTTCCCAATCTTGGTTATTTTGTAATTGTGGGTCTGTTTTGTTTTGAGTGGTTTAATTGCTCCAACACGAATCCTTTACACCCTAACATCAGTCTCTGTATTCTCCATACTGTACTCAGTACATTTCCTAAGGTGCAGATAAAGAGAATTTGTTTAATAATCAAGAGCCTCTTTAGCTGGTGATCATTTCTTTCATTCTAGTGACCTTAATGTGTGATTTAGGAGTGATGTTATAAGGAGAAATTAGATACTTACAGTCACTCTTAGGGGCAAAAGGGTGAAATTTTATGAAAAAGAGTAACAGCTGTTTAAAGTCTACTTAATCATAATTAACTTTCGGTATTGTGCCAATCATAACATCATTGGCACTATGTTGTTTTCTCACACATGATAAAAAATAATTGCAATTCTTTATTAATACCTTAATGCTATTGATGATGTTATTGTTTTATCAAGTGAAATAAACGTTTATATCTTGCTGTGATGATTAATGTATAAATATTCTGTAAGGAACAACTTAGGTAATTTAATTGGTTGATCAAATAAACCTGACCAGCATGGTCTGACTAAATTTGAAGCTGTACCCAAGACAGCCTAAGGTCACCAAAAGCTACTTGTAAGACCTGACACGTAGGATCTAAGAGCACATCTTTGAACATCTTTTGCATTTATCTGTCAGTTTGCAAATTTCAGTCTCAAATTTTATTATTAACAAGTACATTAATTGACGTGCAGTCAGGTCATTAAAATCTTTTAATTCATAAACCTACGTTTTAACTGGGATTGTAGTTAATATTCTGCAAACTGTAACTCTGCTAATTCATAGACCATTGCAGGAAATAGAATGAAATGTTTCTGTTGAGCTCCATACCTGCATACACAATTATTTGGCAAAGGTAAAAGAGAAGAAAAATCTAGGGGTCGTATTGGATTTCATAGAAGCAAACAGATGACAATTGCAAAGTCTAAGTCTGGTAGCAGAGTAAAACATATGTCTTGAATAAGGGGCAATTTGGAAAAAAAAAGAATACAAGTGGCCTATTTTGGTCTTATGCATATTTGGGTGTTAGCTTTTGGTAATAAATATAATTTTAGGGTTTGTTACAACCCTTAATTCATTGTTACTGGAAGACTAAGGAACTTGAGGTTATTTTTTTAACTTAAGTGGTGTAGCGGCCGACACAAGCGAAGCAAATCTTCGACGACAACTATGAGTTTCGCAAATGAAGACAAACTATGAAGTGAGGATATATTTTACGGACAAGCCTAATGAACCGTTTTATTTAACGTAGTCGAGGTATCGTAAACTGAAATATGAAAATTATAAGGAAGGATAAAAGGATACTGCTTGAAAACGAACTCTAACAAAAACTAATAGCCAAGTGGGGAAAACGTGTAGGGTTCTAACGAAGCGTAAACAACGTAAGCCACGTGTTACAAGTTTGCGAAAACGAGCGATAAAGAAAATTAGTGTAAAAACTAGGCGAAACTACCAAAAGACTAAATGTTTAGACAATTAAGCACAAAGAAAAGGAACATAGGCACTTACATAACAGTCCCGCTTGTAAGAGTTTAACCAAAACGATCCTCAAGATAAGGTTGGTAAAAAGGCACTCTTCCGATAAACACGTCTTATCAATAAGCAAATTTAAGCCATAAAGAAAGAATTTTTTTCCCTCTTGAGCTAACTTACAGGAATCTTGATCATATGAATCTTAAAGGAGTTGCACAACAATATACCTCTAACACTATTGTTAAAAGTGTTATATGAAATTATAACAATAATTGTAATAATTATAAAAATAATAATGATAATAACTCTTGATTCAAACACAAATATACAGCAGTATTTGAAGGGGAGACCCCTGAGGTTATCTCTATAAGAAGGGCTTCGTAACCAACTAAGTTAACTAATCAAAATCTATGTACATTTTGACAGTTCAAAATCTATTTAAAAAACAGCTTTGGAGTAGAAACAAAACTCAAACAAAACAAAGTAGGACCTAGTGGGCAGTAAATTTAGTAATCAACTTATATTCCTTCAAATGAATCATTGTTCATTGGCTGGCATTTTTTACTGGTTACATATTTCTGAAGCAGTCACTACACACTGTGCTTTGATTAGATAAAGCAGTAATCACTTGTCTTAATCCAAATTAAATTTCAGACTTTAAAGCCTTTACATGTAGTGTTTTTTTTGTGGCTGACGACTAAAATGTCTCTGGAGACCAATGACCTTATCTGTTTTGAGAATACGAAGAGTATAACTAAACAGTTGGAAATTGTCTTCAAACGTTCTGTTCTGGTGAGTTAATTCAAAAATTAGGAGTTACTCCAAAAGGCATTCTTGTTTGAATAACTGATTTTCTTTTACTTCATCAACAATAGACCGATAGCTGTTTATAAACCACACATTGTGGTTTTACATGTGCTGCTACCAGGACACCACTGTTAAAATTGCTGGTGATATCCGCATTCAAAATTTTTGCACATCTGAGGAGAAAATAATGTTTTAATGGTTAGAATACTTGCCTTTTTAAATCTCAAGCTGTGGTTTAAAGATAAATATTGACGAACACTTTGTATCGGTAGAGAAAGATATATGGAACATACTTGATGATGGTGATGATGAAGTCTTTATTGGAAAAAATCAGACTCAACAGCAGTGAGTCTTTACAGTCCAAATCATGGATAAAAGGGACAATTTAATATCTAAAACAAGATATAAAAAGAAGTAAAAAGGAATAATCGAACATAACAAAATATGATCACACAAGTTTAAAAAGACATCTGTTAATAAACAAGTTTTTGTATATTTCAGTTCTTATCTGGGGGAGTTGGAATTCATGCCCCCTTTTCCTCAGTATTCTTGTTAAGGATAAGGTGAGTGAGTCAAATAACTTGTTGAGTTGATCTTAAGAATAGCTGTTAACCTTATAAACACTCAATATAAACAGCCAAGTGTTTGCATTGGTTATAAGGTTGTCAACGTGGAGGTCCCAGCAGCCAGGGTTTTCTTGAAATATAAACTCTCTACGGTGGCCAATTTACGTTATCACCTTAGTTGGTAATACTTAATTACCCTGTTATACTCTCCCACCGACGCAGCACCACGGTTTCTTTAGACACTTGCCTCCTTTATTCTTACCATCAATGCTAGGTACTGGGTGTCGTTTAGACTCGGAAGTCTTGCTGTATATTAGCATCTCACACGGTCATACTTTGATTACCTTTCAGATATGTGACATGCTTATAAGCAAACATGTGTTTACAAATTATTTATGTTTATCTCTTTTTGAGTTAGTTTCTAATTTCATTTGTTCACCTCTAGGAAAACTTTGAACACAGATCCAGTTTGTTATGATGGCAGGACCTAGTGCTGACAAGTGCAGCTGCTCAGAGAATCGCAGTGATGACCCTCCATCTCTGAGTATTACACTGAAGAAGACGAGAGATCTGCCAAAGAAGGTGAAACATTGGAACATAGACCATCGTCCAGTTGACATTCTTCTTTTGACTGTGGAGTATTGCGAGTTCTTAGCTTGTTATCATTACCTGAGAGATTCCTTTAAAAGCTATGATAAATCCATTGGATATGTGTACTTTGGAAAGATGGGTGACGATGAAGATGAGTCACTGAAAGTTGCTTTAGTGAAGTGTTCTAAAGAATCCTTGGATCCTGGAGGTTCTCAAACTGCTGCTAAGAATGCCGTCACACTCCTGAGACCTAAGGCTACCTTTTTGGTTGGTTTCTGCTACAGTTTGAATCCTGACAAAGCCCAGCTTGGAGATGTGGTGATATCCTCAAAGCTTACAACAGAGTTTCACAAAACCCCAGTGAGTAGGGATGTTGGCAACCTTGTCAGAAGTGCAGCTGATGGATGGGAGGCACCATTAGAAAACCCAGAAACACGTGAAGTCAATGTACGTGATGGAGAGATTTTGAGTTGCTCTGATCTGATTGATGCTGAACAGCAGTGTCAATCACACCTCGGGGCAATTGCAGTTGAAATGGATGGAAAAGGTGAGAATTACTCCAAGGGTTAATCTTGCTTGGCTCCTGGTTGCTCGGTTCTTAAGCCATGTTCTTGTTGGAGGCGAGGTACTCGATACTTTTTGTTTGAGGAAACTCTCTCCTGAATTATTAATTCTTACTCTCTGATATACTGCTTCTGACAAAAAGGTAGCTTGCCCTACTCACTATACTTTCTAGAAAGAGTAGTGCTAATTTACATGCCTGCAGAAAAACACAAAATCTCTTAAAAACTTCCAGTAGCAGAGGAAGAACAAAAAGAGTGATCTGCAGAAAAACGAAGCCTCTTTTGCTCAAATTAATCGCAACATTCTCTCTATAATGTCATTGATTGAATCTATTTCAATTGTTATCGCTTTTTTTTCTTTTTTTTTTTCTTTTTTCTACCTCAGGCTTGTTTGCAGCAGCTCATGACATGAAGATAGAGTGGCTTGTCATTAAAGGAGTTTGTGGTTTTGTACATGCTGTTGCATCTACAAACGATCCATGGAAGACTTTTGCATGTGTCATGGCAGCTTCTGTTGTATCTAACATGTTGAGTAGCTCTTTTGTGTTTGGAGACTGGCCTCATTACGGAGGTGCGTGTACATTTTTGTAACAGCTTTGGTTGTGTCTTCCAAGAGATCTTGTAACTTGTCTGTTTTCCTCGACATAGAATATTGTTATCTGCTGATGAGAGCATGGAGACCAACAGTGGAATTCAATATATATCAAAAAACTGATAAACATGCGCATTTTTTTTCAATGGCATTGCTATGAAAAAAAACTGAGATATGTACAAATTCATTTCAGTAGTTCCAATTCCAGTTTTGAATTCGTGGATAACGTTCTAAAGTTACTGATTAGAGGGGTAAATAAGAATTCACTTTCTGCGTCTTCATTGTATTTCATTAGTCCTAAATTAAATCTTTTATATTTCATATTAGATTGTAGGTATTACAAATCGCTGATTAAACATGTTTATCAACTACCCCCTCCCCCTGCCCTCCTAATTATTGTTTTCGTGTCCAGACTCTGGTGCACAGTAAAATGAACCCAAATTTTCTTTGTTTACCTTTCTACGAAATACCTTACTGTTGCTGACCGGTTTAAAACTTTGTTGAGATCTAAATCTTAGCTTTTATTCCGTTTCAATTAATTTCAATTCTCCAAGTCCATCAATTTCTCTTCTCTCTTTTATTCCGTGATCAGGCTCACACGAGATTTTCATCTTATTCAATCAGCACTTATTTCGACTCCTGCTTGTTACCCATTTCACAGATTAACTAAAGTGTGTTTTAATTCTCATTACAGTTTGACTTTCCTTTCCCTTTTGCAGACATTTCAACAGGAGAGGAGAGTTTTAAAAGTGATGACCCTTCACAAAATAAACGTAGAAGGCAAGCAGGTATTATAATTATCAAGTGAAGAAATTTCACATTAAGCTTTCGTTTTAATAATTTATATTATACTTATAGTAGTAGAGTGTCCGAGCGCAGAATCCGAAGGTGTTATGTTCCATTCCTGGTGAGGACTCAAAATTTTTCCTTTGTCCCACGCTCCTGACAAGACAGCAAAACTTCTTTCTTTTTTCTTTTCTTATACCAGTTTGTCATTCTAGTTCAAGAAACAGTACTGCGCAAAATTTTATGAAATGAAAATTCCTGAAGTTTTTCGTTCTCTCTTTGGCCGTTACATTTCCCAACATAATTGATCCATGATTAAATAAATGCTGGAAATTTAATCTTCCCTGCGATTTAAGAAGAGTTACCGAC